ACGGCACGCACCTGCGCTCAGAGACGGGGCGGGGCCGCGCCGAGGCAGGGAGGGCCGCGCACTCCTGGCAGAGTGCACCGCGGGCCTGCAGGGCGGAGGGATGTGGAAGGTGACAGTGGTGTCCCGAGGAAACAGGAAGACCGGCACCAGGTCTCCCTGCTACGGTGCGTGGGAAACACGGCAAGTCCCCGAGGGTCCCTGAGGGCGGGGTCTAACCGCCACCTGTGGGCAGCCACACCAGACCCCGTGCGTGGCTCCAACATGGTCAGCGACGAGGACAGCTGTCACCTGGCCGTGCCCACTGAGCCTTCCCAGCCACAGATGTGCTTTGGCATGAACCCAATGGCTCCCTAAAACAAGCAGCTGCATCTGACTCAGGCACGAGGCCTCCTCGGACGGTCATTAGGAAAGTCAGGGCAGCGGGCGGTGTGGTGTGGGGCGGGCACGGAGGCAGCTACGAGCCCAGGCGGCACCATCTGAGCCCCAGGCCGCCGTCCACCCAGGCCGAGTGTCGCAGCGGATGCAGCAGGTGGCCCCGTGGGCACTGCGCAGGGGACACCTGCTCCCCACGGCCACACCCACGACAGGCCTCCAACATAAATGCTGGCGTGGCACGTCACAGAGCAGGAGAGGCAGTGCTGACTGGACCGTCGGGAAGTGGAACACTCCAGGACATGAATTACAGAACACTGTCATGTAAGCAACAAAGTAAAATGGAATCACAGCCCCAGCCCGTGTGGCTCCGTGGATAGAGCGTTGGCCTGTGGACTGAAGGGTCCCAGGTTCAATTCGTCAAGGGCACAGGCTTGGGTTGCAGGCTGGATCCCCAGTAGGGAGCATGCAGGAGGCAGCCAATCCATGATTCTCTCTCATCACTGATGTTTCTCTCCTCTCTCCCTCTCCCTTTCTCTCTGAAATCAACAAAAATATTTTTAAAAATTAAAAGAATAGAGTCACAGGTCCTCCTCTGAGCAGAGGCCTGGCCTGGGATGTCCCTGTGCAGGGACGAGGGGGAGAGGAGGGAGGGGAGGGCAGGGCACAGCGGGAGGCCCGTGATCGCCAGGCCCTGAGGACAAGCTAGTTTACTTCAACAGCGTTTATGGAACGACAGCGGACACCAACAGAAACAGGGCCCTGGGACGAGGCCCATCTTCTGGGAATTTGCAGATGAGGCTGCAAACATGACCCTCCGCAGGGGCGGGAGGCCTGACCTACTGGCTGGGACTCCCCACCGGGAGGGCTCACCCCCTGGAACCTGCAGGCACCCCCTCCCCTCTGAAGCCTTCGCCGACATGCCCCCGCCTTCTACACGAGACCGAGCCGGGGCTCCCACGCTGGGTGCTCCTGGATCCTGTCCACCTCCATGTCCCATCTGCCTCACGGAAATGAGAGCATCCGTGCCCCGCGTCTCCCAATGGAGTGCCAGTTGGCACACAGACCGGGACTGGGTCCCTGAGAACCAGGCCTGCCGTGTCTCCTTCGTGCCGCCGCTGAGCACGCTGAACCTGACGACACGCCTGGTGTCCGGGCACCAGCCAGGTCAGTCTCCAGAGGACCAGGAGCGCCCCTGCTGTGCACCTGCGGGGGAGCTCCCGTGGACGGCCCATCCTGGGCACGAGGGATGTGGCACAGCAACCTGACCTCCGCCCACTACATGCAGTGGCAACACCCAGCCCCAATGTGACCACCAAAAATGTCCCGAGACCCTGCCCCATGTCCCCAGGGGCAGAACCGCCCTCTAGGTGAGGCCAGAGTGAACACAAGACCCCCACACTCTGGGTGAGGCCCAGCCCACAGCGCTGGACCGTGGTGGGTGCTCAGGCACTGGGTCCCACATCCCCGACCCTCCCGCACAGAAAGTACAGGAAGTGAGCACCATGGCGAGGACGGCCGCTGAGTGCCGCAAGCAGGCGGGAGTGCAGACAGTCCCCCCGCCGGAGTTTCTCATCGGCACACACACCGCAGACCCTGCACCCACGTGAGTGTCCCTGGAGGCAGCACCGCTGCTGCCACAGGAGATGCATCCTCTGCCCGTGCAGCTGGCCTGGCCCTGCTGGAAACGCCCCCCGAGAGCGACCAGCGCACACCTAGGAGGCCCGAGCCGTGCTCACTGCACCCTCTCATGATGGGCCCACAGGGCCAGGGCCGCCCTCCACGAGAAGGCGAGAGGCTGAGAGCCGGGCACAGAGCTGCGGGA